TCTTCAGCTGATGATGAACTCCCAGAATTCCAAAGACACGGAGTCCTATAAACGTAACTAAGTATAATTTAGGGTCTAAAGTGGTTGCACAGAGTACAGGGCTAGTTTTTGCAATGTAAAGTTTCATTCCAGCAGAAAAAGCTTCCTGCTAAATCACAAAAAGACACAGACAGGCTATGTTATATGAAGCGGCCCGAGGAACTCTCTAAAATCATGGAGTATGTTCATACAGAAAATATCAAGGTTATTGTACCTTCCCTCTTTGACTGGGGAACTACAACCCTGAAATATTATAAACATGGCAGCCTAACCAAGACCTGAATTGGCCCAACAACAGTTGACATTCCAACACAGATGGTGAAAATCTCATGAAAACCCATCCTTAGATGAAGAGCTCCAGGTAGTTCAGGTCTTCCGAGAGAGATAATTAGTCTTCCCAAGGAAGGAGTGCCTAATTGTTTATCCAATACTAAATGCCAACCCAGAAACCAGTATAAGTTGGAAAAATGAGGAGACTCAGCAGGTTGTATTTATGATTATTTATTTGTGCATGTAATAAATTGGTTAAAAAAGAGGTCCTAAATTTGAGAGTAAGTGGAGATGTAACTTAGGAATTTAGGAGGGAGGAGAAAAACAGGAAAATTAAACAATTATATTTTGATTAAACTTTTAAAAATCTGAAGGTCTGTTATGAGCATTGATTTTTCACTCCAAGAGTCTTCAGTGATATGTAGGTTACCTATAGAGTCAAATGCTGATTCTCAGCCTCAGGCAGGACCGCTGAATCAGAACCTCTACTTGCAAATCTGTTTCGACAGCATTCAGTCATGAAGTACAGTGTCAAAATACTAACTTTTTCTGTGCTTCATAACTGGATATGTGTTCACTAGCTTAAGGGACTGGAAATTTATTTTTCCTTTCACAATAACATAGTACATTAAAGAAGAAATGCTGTGGGATGTCATTCTGTATGCTGTGAATATGTGTTGCTCTGATTGGTTGATAAATAAAGCTGTTTGGCCAAAGGTTTCGCAGAATAAGTTTAAGCCAATCATTTTAACTAGAGAGATAGGAGAGAAGAAAAGAGAGTAGAGGAGAGGCTGCTAGCCACTGCCAGAAGAAGCAAGATGTAAAGCTACTTGTAAGCCACTACGCACATGGCAAAATAAGGATTTATAGAAATGGGTTAATGTAAGATATAAAAACTAGATAATAAGAAGCCTGCCATGGCCATAGTTTTAAAATAATATTAGCCTGTGTGTGTTTATTTGGGTCCAAATAGCTGCATATCTGGCGGGTGAGAGAGATTTGTCCTGACACAGGCCAGGTGGGTACAAAGAAAATCTTTCAGCTACAAATGGTGTGCTCAGACATGGTGGCAAGTGTTTCCACTTAAATAAAGTCTGAGAACTTAATAAGAGATTCTAAAATGGAACTAAAAACAGCTTCCTAGTTCTGTCCCAGGCAAGCTACAAGCCACAGTGTGGTGTGCTTGCAGCTGCATGTGGGCTGGACCTACAGTATGGTGGGTTCCAGCTGTAGTACACAGAGGTGTCTCCAAGCTGAGCAGTGCACTGCATGGTAGATTTAGCTTTTACTAGTATTAGAAAAAGAGGTTTCTGGGATACATGCTACTGCTGAGTAGAGACACGGACCCACTGTCTCCCACAGTCAGCAGAGAGCATGGCTCCCAGAGCTGGCATTGAATTACCACCATCATATTGGGAAGCTGATGTGGGTGAAGTCAGCAGTCAAGGCTTCTGCTTCATGACTAGGCACTGCAGTGTAAAGCAATAGATTCACAATAAGGCAGATTTAGATTAAATAAACCTCTAAATGCTTTACAATGTATGTAAAAATATACATAGTCTTGGAACAGAGAGGAAAAGGAATATAGACTGTTATATAAAAAAATAGAAAGTTTTAAAAAAATATAGCCTTTAAAGAGAAAAAAGTAATACAAAAATAAGACACGTAAAGATGGAAATCACACAGAGAGTCTGGATTATATTGTCTTTGAGATTTTTAACTGCAGAGAGACATTTGATTGTAAAGGCTGCTAAATTAAACCAATATGTATGTTTTAAATACATCTTGACTTTAAATATTATGTCTAAGGATATATTGCTTTGGAAAGGAAGTTCTGCTTTTGTTTCTACAGAAGATGAAAAACAGGCTTATATGGTTTGATTAAGGAAGACCCTCTGAGAGGTCTCCAGATGTTCC